ATGTGACTTGATCTCTCTCAGGAAACTTCATTTAAGTATTTAATACCTGTAAGCATCACTTGTAAGAAGCAGAATTATTTAAAATTGCTGCCCTTGTGAGCAAGTACTGATTGTGAGACCAAATGGGCAAAGACAGGCTATGGAAGCATACAGTGGTTTAAATATAAATTATTTTAAGCCTGAAGTATCATCTCAAATATTTCTGTCTCTGTGCTATCAAATCTGGGTGCTGAGAATGCTTTCCTTCAACTTTGTTGAATACTAAATAAAAAATGAAAATGAAAACAGTCAGATGACTCTGCTTCCCTAGGCACCATCTACCCGGGAGACACAGAGGTGGCATACATTGCATTTAATAGTAGGCAGAAAGGTTAGATAACCAATATATGGCCAGCACTTTGAATTGAAAGTAATTTAAGTTTGGACTCAGCCTTCTTAGAATAGGGAAGAAAGACTGATTAGAAAAGAGATACCTGCTTAGAATTTGAAATGGATGCTGATGCTGTTTTTGTGGTATGCTTCTTCTTTTTTTTTTTTTTCTTGTGTGATCTCTACCCAGATAAAATAAGCTCTATAGCAAAGCATATAAGCACAGTATGATGTTGAGAAAATTAAATTCATTTTGCTAGCATGAAGGTGATCTTTCTTGATCTCTTAAGCTCCAAATGACTCCTGAATCTGATTATGTATGTTCAGCATAAAACTCATGGCATAAGATCACTTTTGGCAACTTTTTGTGCACTGGAGAAACTAATTCATCTATTGCAGTACTTGTTTTATACTTTTCAACTGTTTAAAAAGGTGTTTTCAGCATCCAATTTGGTTAAGACCTTTCATGTAGATTTGCAGAGCACATATGTGTTCTGAACACTACTTCAACAAATGTTTAAAGAGGTTATTTGTGGAGCTGAGCACCAGTTTTGATTTCAGGGTATTTTGGGGATCCAGTCTGACTCCTCCTTGTAGTGTGAAATTGATGCCATTCTTGAAAATCAACATGTGTATCCTAATTTACACAAAATGAGGAATCATGACTGTTAATAGCAGGCACAGTTGTTTGCGGTTTCACTACTTCCATGGAAATGCTTGGATCTGGATTTGAGAAAGAGTGTGCACAGTGACTTTCAGGTAGGGGGAAGGAGCACGAGCTTTTAATTTATGGTTTGTTATCTGTTATTCAAGATGATCAGGAGACACATCTGGGACTATTTTTAGTTTCTCCTCTTAAATTCTTTCCAGAGAATTTGAAGCTCAAGTGGTAAAGACTTAATCTATAGCTGAACAACTTTTAGGAGAACATGGAAAATTAAAAAAATAAAAAATAAAACAGTAGGTAACAAAAATACGATACTCAGTAAACCCTAATTAAAAAAAGCTTTCTCTTTACTCTCTGCCTGGATGAGAGGTGGCAAACCACTATAGTCTATTCAGGGTTTGAAGACTGGGGAGCAGATGTACTCAGCTGTGGATTTAAACAAGTTGCTGCCTTTAGCCAAGGGGATGCATTTTTATGTCCCAAAAGGCACAACGACTCCTTGGATTTAGCTGAACAGTCTGACTTCTCTTTTGTGATTATAGGTAGGAGCAAGAGACTACTGGGTAGCCATGGAGTTGGACTAATGGGGCACCCTGGATTAGATTTCAGAAGAGGTGATGGTAGGGAAATTTCAGGTGGCAGGGAAGTTTGAGTATTGTAAAAACTTGGTGTGCTATTACTTATAGAAAATCAAGACATCCAACTTGAACACCAAGTACCAAGGATGTCAGCAGAATTTAAAGGATGGATTTAAGCTCCTAGTTCTTCCTTCAAGTCTGATCAAAGTCACCTCCTAAACTCTTGTTCAGTTTTCTTAGAATCATTTTTTCCTTTAAAAGCTGAACAGAAAGTCCACTTACCTCTGTCCTTCTGCAAGTACTATATTTTGTTTTCATATCCTGAGAAGTGTTTTGTTCTCAACTGGAAAAATCTGTCTTAGATGCTACGCACTTTATTTGAAGGTACTTCACTGGAAGTAGCACACTATGATGGGAAATATGTTTCAGTCGTGTTACAAGATGTTTTCAGACACTTTGTGACAAAGATCCTCTTCTGAGCTGCATGATGAGAGTGAATTGAGGTGAAGTAGTTACTTAGAACAGACAATGCAAAGCTGCATTTAGTCAATTAGCCAGAATACTTTCCATTGATGTTTCAGAATGCAGCTGTCAGTGGCACTGCTGAGCATTGTTCAGCACTCCTTAAGCATTTTCATGCTAAAAGTGGTGTGTGTAGAAGAGGAATTTAAGAAACACTACAGCAAATCAGTAGAGAATACAGTTATTCAAGAGCAATTAATGATTGTTTCCTGAGCTAAATCATTAGCACAAGTATTTTGTATTTGTTTTGAGAAGTTATTCTAACTTACTCCTGTGGAAAACATTTAATGGTTATTTGAACAAGTTTAAATGTGAGAAGCTATTTTCTGCTTTTTGTTTGTTTGTTTGTTTGTTTTGTTTACATTTAAAACAGAAGTGGTGTTGAAGGTATTCTGGGCAGCATCATAAGTGTTCTAAGCCTTTCAGCTCAGTGTCTTGATATGTCTCTATGACTGGTTGGATGAGAGGTGCTTCAGGGGGATCTTTTTTTTTTTTTTTTCCTGATAAAGAGCCTGTTTATGAATGTGTATCCACTGGTAGTGTGTGTACAAGTGATATCTATCTATCTATAAAAATTTCAATTATAAGTGAACAAAAACCATGTTGCATTCTCTTGATGTGTGACCTCGAGTTCTCAGCAGTTCCCTTTCTCTGTAAGTGCCAGGTGGAGCAAAAGATAGCTCTGTTCTTCACTTAACTTGTTTGACAGTGCTGTTTTTTTTCTCTTCCAAGAGAAGAGATGTGTAAAAGAAAATAACTTTTGAGACCATATGGCTGCATCACTTAATTCTTGGCATCTTTGCTGAAATGAGAGTAAGTTTATGTTACTCTACGCTGTATGAATCCTGTGCTTTTCCTCTGTGATAATGCAGTTTGCTCCTCGTTGATCTGGTCTTCGGGAGATAATTGTCAAGTTGGTCAGTAGCTAAACTTGAGAATGATTAAAAAGGTTGTATATGCCAGGTACTGAGCCCCCTCCAATCATGACCCTGCACATGTTCCAGTGTGCAAGAGGATTGGTTCACATGTGCAACAAATACCTCCTCGTGGAAAACCTCCTGTTTTCTCCTCAGGGTGAAACATAAGGTACTTCATCTTTTCCAGCTCTGGTACCCTGACACTCCAGTTACTGTTGTTCTCTTAGTGCGAGTTTGTACCCAAACCAGCCTAAGGGGCCTCTAAGTTGGTTGGAGTGCAGGTTATAAAGTTGGTCTTCATTGACTGTAATTGCTTTTGCACTGTTGGCTATGCATTTTCTCTGAGGCTAACTATATATAGCAGCATGTTGAACATTCATAATTAACACGCAACATGACAATAACCACTCATTACAAACAAGACTGCTAGCTGATTGTGAATGTAAAGCCAGCGTGCAACACCCAACTTAATAAAAAACCAAACTAAAACAGAAAACCTGTTATAAAAGAGGTTATGCTCCTTACTTCAGGCAACAAACAACAGATTAAAAAACAGAGGATAAAAGAGGGAGTTTTTTATATATAGAGGTCCGTAATTCTAGTACTGTAGTTTAGCCTGTCATCCCAGTCTTAGCTGAGGTGCAGCAACACAACCATGCATTGAAACCACCTTTGAAATCTTAGTGTTGACCTAGATTCTGCCGAAAGGTAAATATTTTTGTACTAAAAATGTTATCATGGACAGAACTAGGAATGGTATTGGAAGACTTAGCTGTTATACTTCAGTCTAAACTTCTCCTGGTTTTAAGAAGCTACCTTAATATTGCTTTCTTCTTACCTATGATGGAGACAAGGTTGATACCAGGACAGGAATTGCTCTCCATGCTTTACTCTGCTTGCCTTGGAAAGATTTGCCATGGACACAGCTCGTGTGTGTGTGTGTGCTTGGTGGCCTATTTCTGTGGGAACTGTGACACGAACAGATGCTGCTGCCGCTAGGTGAGCTGCTTAGGCATTCCCCACAAGGGGCTGCAGCTCACAGCAGAGCTTCTGTGTCTAAGGTCTTCATCTCAAGACACCAGGAATAATGTTATTACTGCTTGTTTATCAGAGGCGGCAGGAGTAGCAGGAGCACTCTGCTGGGGAACAGCACTATAGAACTTTTTCAGATAGCCGAAAGCCAATTCCTGCCTTGAGTGCTAGCCTGGTGAGTCTGAAGCACTGGCTGTTTAGTTACTTGCACAGGCAGACAATATCTGGTACAGGCTGTATATGTTAAGCATTGGCTTAGTTGGTCCTTATGTTTTAAGAAAACATAAATGATGCAAAAACTAAATGTTTATAGCATAGCTATCTATTACCAATAGATATCTACATATCTGTGTTGGGAATCAACATTATTTCCTCTGTGATAAAAGGTGCATGTACCTCCAGGGAACAACTTGCCCCAATTGGAATTTTTCATAGCTCTGGCTCTGTTCTCTTTTCTGGTTGAAGGCAGGTCCGTGCTGAAGCTGCGGAAGCTATAGAATTGTACTTCAGTCCAGCTTGCTGAAGAACCAGTGTACCTTTTGTGTGTTTTTTTCATTTGGATCATGGAAAAGAAAATGTGACCCCCTCCTTGTGACTGCCTTCTATGCTGTTTTTAGTTTCTCCTGTATCTTCATTTTCCTGACTGGGGAAGTGATGGTAAGGGAGTTATATTGTTAATGGCCACAGAACTAGCATTGTCTCTGAATCCCTGAGCATGACACATGCAGAGATGCACAGCCACCATTTACTTGCCATGATTTACTCCTTTGAATTTTGGCTAAGGTAGGGCTTGGTAAACACTGATACTTGGCAGCTACTTGTCAGGATGTGACTTTAGTTAATGAAAACAGTGAGAGCACCACTTAATATCTAAGCTGATTACCCTGGAGACAGCTAGAGAGTAATAAATAGTATTTGGGGTTTTTTTATTCAATAAAAGCTTGAGTTATAAATATTCTCCATTTGTTTTCTATTTACAGATGTAAAATACTTTAGGATAGCCTACCCATCACCTATCATTCAACACCTCTATAAATGCAATGGAAACATAATTGTAAAATAAAATGTCTGTTTCCGGCTCACAAACCCAATTTCCACACACTCACAGAATAAAATCAAAGGGACAGAAAGGAGAGAAGGAACAGGGAGGAAAGAAACGCAGTACAGCAGGCAACAATTCAGTATTTGCTACACAGTAGCAAAAGGAATGGGTAAAAAAATGCAGTCTGTTATGATGACAAGCTTTTCAAGACATTTGTTATAGACCAGCGTTGTCCAGTGCATTTCTGGAGGACGAGTTGAAATCCAAATTCATTTTCATTGTTTTCCTGCAGTTCCAGGCAACGCTTGGATTTTCGGTTCTGGATTGGGCCTCCCTGTAAGTGTGGGGGGAAAAAAGAAGTTTGGGTTAAACACTGTGATCACATTGCTACTGCATGACAGTATGAATTAGCATTCCAGTGTTCATCTACTGAATGCTACTTCGACTGCTTCTGTGGAAAAACTGGGGGCAAGATAGGCAGTGGGTTGGGTCTGCTGTGAATGTTCCTTTTGTCACAGGCTGGTTTAATCTCTGAGGCAGTTTAGAATGGTTGCAATTGCTTGGTTAGCATTTCAGCAAATGGAATTTCTAGAATTAAGCTGCATTTCTGGCCATGCTCATTAACATTAGGCCAAAAGCTTTCCTGTTTGCTTTACTTGCCTAGCTTAGTGGCTATGCTGCACCACTGAAACATGGAAAAAAAGGCAAAAAAAGGAATAATGTCTTGGCTGGGGGTGTCCCATATATAAAGTGCAAAAAAAAAAAAAAGTTTGAATACTGAAATTAATGGTCTCTTATAATCTTTTGTCATTAGTCATCGATATCTACTTTTCATTCGTTCATCATGAATGATACTGCCATGCTAAAAGCCCCTCTCTAGCTGCTACTTGGAATGGAAATAATCTTAAATAACTGAGGTTATCACACAGTTACCAATAGACATAAAGAACAATTAAATCATTTTTCTACATTTTTTCCTTTTAGCCCTTTTTAGTTTTTTTTTAATTATTGGTTCTTTCATACTCCATCCTATCTAATAATGGTAATTTGTACACATTATTGTCTGGGAAGTTTCTTCCAAGATAAACAGTAGAATAATTTGCACAGTAGTCTGAAATGCTCTGTCTCTAGAGGATCCTGGACTTGCAGAATAGAGAATTACCGGCTTAATCTGCAAATCAAAGAATGGAGGGTCAGTCAGTCAGTACAACTGCATTAGTACAACTGAAGTATAGAAAGAACACCTCAGTATTTAATTGCTTACTCGTAAGTAGAGGAAACTGTATGATTGTGATTTAAAAAAAGAAAAAATGAAAACCCACAAAAGCTGAACAGTTTGTGTCAGGTCTGTGTTAAAGAAAGTCATAAGCGTGAGAGATTTCTCTTCTAATCACAGAGATATTTGCTATATCCAATAGAAATGCAGAATTTGGTCTTCAGAGAAGGCAGGTCATTCCACTCAGTACAGGTGCTCCATTCAGACAGGTGACCTGAGGAATATCTTCTCCTCCCATTGTATCAGTAGTACATTTTGAGGACTGGTTAATGAGGTAGAAACAGGTTTGAAATCTCTAAGATCTAAATATGGCTTGGAGTAAGAGAGACCATATCAGGAATAATCTGTGACATTCAAAACATGAGGCTCCCATAGATTCTCCCTGGTAGGCCTAGGTGCAGAATCCAATTTAAACTGACAAGCATACTGCAGCACTCTGTAAATCAGGATCTCTGTAATGAAATGCTGAGTGAACTGTATTTTCCCACTTCTCTATAAGAATTTATTGATGCCCACACTAATAATGGTAGTTAAATGTGGGTGTATGGTGGCAGCATAAGCTCTAAGACATCCATAAGCACTATAATTGTTTGAAATAGACAAATATTTTTGGACTAACTATAATAGGAAATCAGTTAAAGCTTCTTATACATTCTTTGTTCACTCTACCTCTACTCAAGTGACTTTTTGGCCTTCTAAAGTTCACTGAAGTTGGTGAATTTTTCAGTTGAATTCAAGGAGATTTGAATGAGGTCCTACAGAAGTAAAACTCCAACATAATGAATATTTTCTTACTGTCAAAAATAAACTGCTGAAGATTTTTCTGTATTTTAATTTTAGGAAAGTGTACAGTCTCAATTTTAATGAAAACTGTTGATCATAATTTTCTCCCTGCATAGTCAATGTTCCATGGCACTTGGGCAGACCACAAATGTGGAATTGGAGATCACAACTTAGCTCGAGTGTTTCTGCCTAAACCCCAAATTTAGATCAACTTCCTTGAGCTTCTAGCTGATGCTGGAGGTGCTTGTGTTTCTATCATTAAAGTTAACTAGTTCTGTATCTGTGCCAAACATTTACACTTATCAATTAGTCATTTTCTCGGTCATGGTGTCTAAGGCATCCTCAGCTTAGCTTTTGAAAAAAGGTATGGAATGTCTTGTCAGAAAACTAACCACCTATGGGAGTTTGGGTCCTTTCCTTGCCCGCTTTTTGGATCTGTGATATGAATGTAGGTATGGTACTCCTAGACTTTGCCTGTCATTCCCAAGACATTGATTCACATTCACAAGCATAAGTGAAAGAACAGTATTCAGTTTCTCAATTTCACCTAAAGCGTGACAGCTAAACACAAATGTGTTTGCTGGTAGACCTTCTCTCCTCTCTGTCCAATGCTGTGAAATGAATTCTGTGGTATCCATCCTGAGAATAGCTTTTAAGCCCATGAGTGAAACTAGTTAGAATGCTCACATCTGGCCTTAATATGTGGCATCCATCTCTTCAGCAGCTTCTTTTCAATAGAAACTAGTGACTTCAGACAGAGAAAGGTAGAGGCAGCTGTTTTTGATGAGCTGCAAAGTGCTTTGCAGTGGCTACTGAAAATCACTGTGCTGAGAATGTTGAAGCCTCCAGCATGGAACATAAAGAGACACCAAAATTAAGCGGTGGTTAATATGTGTGAGCTGAATGTTCTAGAGAGCAGAGATGCTCTTCTGTAAGATGAGATGAGAGAAACATAAAGGCTTAAGTCCCTTTAGAAATAGAACAATTCAGCTTGTAAGAGATGTGAGGTCTTTGCAGAACTATGGCTCAATCCCTCTAAGAGCTTGCAGACTATGCAGCTTTAGTTCCTTCCAGTTAAATGTATAAATAATTCTTCTGAAGTATACTGAGAAAGGTTTATGTAATATGTAAAACTACCTCTAATTAGACTATCTTTGTTTTTCCCCCCCTTCGCATGGCTAATGCAAGCCTGCTATAGTGGTATTGCTCTATTATTTGTAGGGTAATGACAGCGCACCCACTATATATTGCAAGGTATATTAGCTAATTAATGAGCTGTATAATTCATTGAAGCACATGATAGAGCAACTCCGCTGAAAGCAAGTATGCAAGCAACACTCAGCGAAAGCTAATACTACATCTTGCTACTCTGACTGGTTTGGCCTCTGAATTGCAGTATTACTGAGCGGCTTCAGCAACCTGTCAGCATTGTGTTTGAACACCCAGAATGAAACAGACATAAAGGTATTCCTTTAATTAATTATTTGTAACTAGTTAGTGAAACTTGCATAAAACTCTTCACAGTCATATTTATTGCTCAGCAAAATCCTCCCTTGTGATGCTAAATCTCAGAGTAATCAAGCATGGAGGTTGTCTGCCTGTCTAGCTCCCATTTCCCATCCTAGCTATGAACTCTACTTCCCAAGCCAAATATTTGGTAGATAAGAATAATGTCTTTTAGGATACATAAAAAAAAAAAAAAAAAACGATTCTGTAGGCTGTAACTAGTTACAGAGAAATTCTGCTCAGCTGAAGAGAAGTAGATTTAGGATCATTGATGATGAGGGGCAGCACAAGGATAGAGAGTTTCAGGTGGATAAATAAACCCAGGTCAAGTATTTTATAAAAACAGATCGAGTGTGACAGCACTACTAAGTTTAACAGAAAAATGTGATGGGCTTTGCAGTGTGGGTTGAAGCAATCCCTGTGAGAAGTACAAATGCTCTCAACTCCTGGTAGCATTAGGCACACATAAAACTGATTTAGTGGTCCATAAGCATACTTTTAATGTAAACACCATTTCACGTCATCAATCCTGCTATGGCAAATAGCTGTTGGCATGTCAGCTAACTTAGGGTTGCGTAACGCATAGTGGAATGCAATAATACTTTTGACTTCCTTTAGAATTATTGTACTTCTCATGCCCAAAAGACTGTTAAGTCTTTCACCAAAGCAGAACTTAGCCAATACTACAATGTTTAAGAATACCACATGCTATATCTGCAAACTACAACAGTGTGCAGTACAGGGATGAGCCAACTTCTTCAGTCAGCTGGTCCATGTGTAGCAGCTATAAATTCTAGCATGCTATTAGAAAGAGTACCATGTTGCAAGTATGTGCTTGTGTATTTCTATGTTAAAGATGGAGTGATAAAAACCATACAAAGTAATTAGTCTTTGCTGGACTGTACTATGTTTGTTTTCTTGTTATGTTTATTGTGTGGGGTGGAGGTGTATGTCCCAGCATCCGCTTTCCTGTCCTTGGTCTGCAGAGCAGTAGAGGACCTGTAGCATATTGGTTGTTATGGAACTAAGCTTAGTTGGAAGATTTCACAAAGTTTCCCTAGTAGTTGAACTGCTTGTGATTCAAAGAGCTACAAATGGGACAGAATATCAGCTTTCTCTGCAAATACACGACATGTTAAATGCGATGACTTTTGCAGAGATAGTGCTTGTGCAATCTAACCTGAATCTCCTGCCCCACCATACTATTACTGCTGCAGCGTTAGCGTTACCTACCAAGTTACACTCAGAAAAACCCTTTAAAACAAAGCAAAGACTTCTCTGACTTCATAACAAGAAAAGCGCATGAGGAAATTTCTGTAACATATACCTTGCCAAAAGTTCTGAAGTCTCATCTCACGCTTATTTATTTCTCATACTGTGTGACAGGCCTATTTACTCAGATGCCATTGTACTACCCAAGGTGTAAAATTGTTCTGATTTCTGGCTGTTTTTAATTCAAATCTACCATTGTATTTACTCTCTCAATTAATTCTTTACAGCAAGAACTAAAAGCAATTTTCTGTTTGTTGTTACTCTGAAGTCTGATTGCCAGACACATATTTTGGGTATTTTAAAGGAAGGATTCAAATTTCAGTACCTGACATCATTAGAGTGGAATAAGTAAGTTAATTGGTTAACAGCAGTTAATTGATTTGGTTAATTTAGCCACTGTTTCTGCTTGACAAAGCTGCCAGATGTGATCTGTGATATTCAGGCTTTAAAATAGATTTGATGGGTTTCGTAATCCTCAGGTTCTTGTATTGAGTTTC